ATACCCCAAGGGGTCCCAGGGGCTACAAGCTTACCACATGTGTGGAGCTGGGGTCATGCAGGGAGTCGGGTATGTACATACATGTACACACACACACACACACACGCCCTTCTTTCCTAGACCATCATCACTCATTGCTTCTGCCCGTAAAACTCACAGGGAGATCAAAATCCTAAACCAAACATTCCCAGACTCATCCCCACAGCAACAGAGGAGCCTTCTAAATGCCATTCTCCCCAAACTCGATTCGTTCTGTTGCTCTGATTTGGAAACCTGGGCTGACATTTGGGGTGTCTGAGTTCCTAAGCCTTATGTGCTGGAAAATTCGGGTCTCCTCAGCCCCGAACCAAAGACTGGGGGACAGCCAGTGGGGACCTGCCAGGCGTCTTTGGGGGCTTTGCGTGTTCCCGCAGTGGGGACACCAGCTGTCAACGAGTGTCGCCCAACAGCTGCCGCTGACTTGGCTGGTGCATTTATTCTCGCTCTCCTCATTACGGGCGTCTAAATCCCTTTTTCATGCCCTACCTCCTTCTGCCCACATCTGTCTGCAATTGGCGCACCACGTGCTGTGGCCGGGGAGGAAGCATCCGATTTAAGACCGTGCGGAATGCCAGGCAGGATGCTCGGGCGGCGGAAGGTGCCCATGCACTGCTTTTCAGGAACACGGCTCACCCTGAGCTCAGCTGGGCACGAGGCCTCTCAGGTCTGGGCCACCCCTGATGGGAATCCGGAGACCAAATCTCCAAGCAGATCCCAGGAGGTCTGCCAAGCCCCCTCACAGGCAATAATCACTAAGTACCTGCACTAATGGTTCCAGGCACTGGGCCAACCACTTGATATCTCATTTAACCCTCACAACAACCCCCTGGAGTGGCTACTATTATTAGCCCCAATGACAAGAAAAGCAGGTACTGAGAATCTGGGAACCAAGATGGCGGCATAGGTTAACATCGGAGTTTGCTGCCTCGAACAACCACTTCAAAAATACAACTAAAAGACGGAACGGACATCACCCAGAACCACAGGAACGCTGGCTGAGTGGAAGTCCTACAACTTCCATACGGAAAGAGTAACGCATACGGACACTCAGAGGAGGCGCAGTGCTGAAGTCAAATTCTGAGGTGCGGAGTGCGTGGAGCGGGCTGGCGGCGGACGGCGCGGTTGTTGTTTTCAATTGGGAGGGAGCTTCAGACTCTGAGCTCCAGAGCCGAGCGAGTCCCTAGGGACCCAGACTCAAA